TAAAAATGTGATTTTTCGTTAAAGTGAACAGTATTATGAGTTTTTCATTAAAGTTTCCTTAATTAAATTGTTTGTAAAGAGGAGAGAGGATCCTTGGTAGATCATCTTTGTGGGATCCTCCAATCACATCCGTTCATCATATATTGTACGGTTAGTTTTTCGTCAGGTACTGTTTATATTCAATTTTAAATTAAAATTTTACAATGATTTCTGATTGTATGATATACGACAAACGAATGTGATTGAAGGATCACTGAGATCCTTACAAAGAAAATTCGACAAAGAATCCTCATTCCGTAAAGAGAATGAGAAAAGGGACGATATAATTATTTAGTATAAGCCCCATGCCCCATGCAAATATATTCCAAGGTTTAACAAACCATGCAGATCATGCATGCAATCACTAATCTTTAAATTATAGGACACTTGTTGCATTGCACGGCTTTGTAGAGCTGCACAGTCCATAAAATTCCGTTCCATTGTCTTTCATTACGTTGTTACATGAGGACAAAGTTTTGTGCCATGCAATCACTCCTTATGCCAGGGCATTGCCCTTCTCCTTCGTGCCTTTTAAGAGGCGCCCGAGTTTAAAACTCTTTTCTACATTTAAGTCCTAATCATCTTTAATAATTTAGATAATCATGTAAAATATTTATCTTTTGTCAAAAAAAAAAAAAAAAAAAAAAAACCACCTCTGCCTTAGTATGCACTTCATGATTAATTATAGGTTATCTATTTCCTTCGAATAAAAGATAATTCTTTCGTGAGTAAGGATAGAGAGACAATAGACATATACTACATTAGTGTACCATTTCATAGTCCAATATGCATGCCCACTCTCTTAGGAGAGATATAGAGATTACACGAGCAATGTCAAGGGAGAAATTGATCATTCTACAATAGAAACGATTATAGTCTTTTAATTTTCTGTAGTATATTCATTTTCAAAATGCATGGAGGAAATATATAGGGATTTACATAGGACTACAATAGGACTACAAAAGCTAATAATAAAAGTAATTTCCTAAAACCACACAACCAGACATTAAGACCTAGCAATGGTGAAAATTTTCAATGTGCCATGAACACGACCTGATAGATTAAGTGTCATAACACATGTGGTTGGAAATTTTTTTTCTTTCTCTAGTATCCAACCACTTGTATTATGACACTTGGTGTATCGGACCGTGTTCTCGACGCATTGAAAAATATCTTCTTGCAATAAGGCTGACCGATGTAGACTTGACCAATCTTGAAATGAGTACAAATGTCACAATATCAATCAAGGGAAGACTTTATCGTATAAGAAAATATCAAGTATCGTTAATCAAGGAGGTATATAGGTACAATTATATACAATCCTAGCCTATGTGGATAAGAGAATGTGAAAGGAGATGATGGAATCCTAGTCCATATTTACTATAGACAAGTTACATAATACCAGTACTAATGCAGAATAAAGAAATTAAAACAATGTCAACCATCTTGGTGCACAGCCTACAGCTGCTGTCTTATGTATTTGGTTGCATCTTCCAAGCACACAATTTATTTGCATAGGGATCTCTATTATTCATTTGACCAACCTGCAGGCACTAAAATATTTGGAAGACTAAATTAGCTTCAAGAATTAATTCAACACTCGGGTCAACTACGTATTTCCAGCAGTTTAATTTGTCCTTATTTTATTTAAATTTCCAGAAGTAAAGGGTACTCCAGCAATTCAAATTTCTAAGTGAAAAATTGTTTAAGCACGGAATTATTAAATTATATCTAGTAAGCTAAGTAGCTTGTTACGTACATGCCGGCATGGTACTTCGAATCGAAATGGCATTTCATCTGCAACTAGGGCAAGAAATATTCATCATCTAATTATTTGATGCATGCATCCTAGTTCCTTCATTATAAATATATATTATATTATTTAATATTATATATTTAATATGTGTATTGATGATTGAAGATATTTTAAAGAAATCAAAGTCATAATTATACGCGTTCCCAACCAATCTAAATTTCTTTGTTTAATAAATCTTTATCATAAATTTTGACCTTTCGTTACAACATCTGATGAGTTTCATTTTGATGTTGATCTGTTGCAGCAAAATATATACTTAGTATTAGTTAATTACTAATAATAATAATAATAATAATAATAATAATAGTAATATTAATAATAATAATAATTAAGAGTCAATGGCAAATAACAGAAACCACAAAAACCATTATTTTGTAAACCAATGTAAGGTCAAACTTAGTTGTCGTTATTTGCTCATCTCCATATTGAATAACTTGTTATGTTATGGGCTCAACAAATAGAATAACTTGAATGTACCAACATAATTTTTTTTTAAATAAAAAAAAAAAAAAAAAAAAAAGCAGTGAAAAAATCCAAAATCTATAAAAAAAAAATTGTAAGCTGTGTGGGGATTGGAGGTAATTAATTTAAAAAACATTAAACCTTTGCTTGTTACTCATTCCTTGCATGTGACAATGTAATCATAGGCAAATTAACCTAATTAACGTGAGAACATGAGGACAAAATCTCACATCGGTGATGGATTAAACCATGGGAGGGCTTTAAAGAGTTGAGCCATTCCCATATGTCATTCTTTTTATGCTGGAATCCTAACTTTTTTTATGGTATCAAAGTAGGTTGACTCACGTGCGAAGTGTCATTCAATTTGTGTTGTTTATGCGTTAAATTTGAAAATTCGCCACACATGAGAGAACGTGTGAGAAGGTGAGAACAAAGTTTCACATTGGTAAGGGACCAAACTATGTAAGGGCTTATAAAGAATTTAACTACTTATATTGTCAATTGTTTTTATGATAGAACTCAACTTTCTGAGATTAAGGTATAAGAAATAATGGCATATGATTCCCTGCGGTTCTTAAATCCAATTTCTGTAATACTCTCTTAAGTGATTATTTGTAACGAAAGAGGGCAACAGAGAGCGGTTGGAAAAGGAATATTAGGTCATGTCAGACTCAGTGTCTTGAAACTGACTCGGAGATGTGTGTGATTTAGGGATCGGTTTTGCAAGTTGAGATGCAACTTGTAGTTTTTATGTGGTTGAGGATATGCCTCTATATTATTTAGTCCCTTTTTTTTATTTTTTACCTTTTTATCACTATGTCAACATGATCAGTAAGATGATAATTGCATGTGATTAACTCACAAATTAAATTACTAACACATCATCATGCCGCCCAAAAACGTGCACATATACGTGTGGGAGTGGGATTGATAGACCAGGTCTTGCATTTGCAGCCGGCTGACTAGTAATTTTCAGTCCGGCCATATCGGTTAACTCTTTGAAATTTCTACTCCCAGATACATTTGCTAAGCCTAACATCATAACAAATTTGCAGCACTTCCGGTAAAGGTTGGGATCGATAATCTGAATCAGAGTAACTCACCCCTTTTGTTATTTACATTTTAACATAATTATTAGAATTGTTATTTTGGTTAGGTAACCTTAAAGGTACATACATAACATGGATCTTAGGAACAATAGTTAAACAGCCAGCATCGTACCATGGATTAGTTGAATATGGTTATTAGCAGACTCTATAAGGTGCTGTAACAACTGAAAATTCTATATTAAAGAGTTAAATTTAAAAAATTTAAAAAAAATCCATTTTCAAGAGATGCTGTAAAAGGCTCTCTATTATAGTAAAATGAACAGTTACTCTTTAAATTTAGAGAGCACAATTCACTTGTTAAATATTAAAAATATATATATAAAACTATAGTGTTGACATCTATTTGTTAAAGCTAAAATGTTTCTAACTTCTCAAATATGTTTACAACTTCTTGGCATGAAACTTTTGGCACTTCCATACTGTCATCCTCGTGAATCTTATTTAGGAAATGGAAAGGGATCCTCTCCGGATCCCTTCCTCCTAATCTACCAAATCAGAGAATCCGTGTCATTGAAAATTGATCCAACTGCTGAAGTTATTATAACTTTTAAAGTGGGTCCCTGTTTGTAGCCGTTTGATCAAATTTTAATGGCACATATTCCCTAATTTAGTGGATTAGGAGGATCCAGAGATGATCCCTTTCCTTGGGAAATAACATCATTAATTAAGGATAAATAAGTAAATAAATAATATTTTTAACTACACCTCTATTAAGTAATAACATCCCTAAAGTTATAAAAATATCTTGGTTCCAACTTTATGACTTTATAGAGGTTTTATTGTAAAATATTCAAAGTTTGCTAAAATAGATAGTGTTGTTGGAGATGAATATCAAACTGAGTAGCTAAAATATTTTTTTGCCACAGTTCATTTGCTAGTTTAACAAAAAATTAAAATTTCTCTTGAAGAGATGCTCAACAATTGAAACTAGAGAATATTTTTTGTTGTTAATTGGCAAAAATACTTTATTCACGCTCTCAAAATTATTATGCACTTCTAATGAAATGATGATTGCAGGACGACTTTTTTGTGTTAATAATAATTGCCCATGCTTCTAATGGTGCAAATAGGTAGAACTGCATAAAACTATTTAAAACCCCCTTTCTTCCAATTAAGACTTTTGTTAACGCATTGACTTTAGAACAACATAAAGTGTTAAGGTTGTGACTTTTACGAGGTTGCTCCGATCACCTAATAGTGAATGTCATATATAAAGAGATAGAGATAGGAAAACAAACATAAGACCCTAAATTGGGCTATGTCCAAGTGGGATTCTAGGAGTTTTATTGTGACGTTGACATGTGTCACGTTGTGATTGGTCCACTAATTGGAGACAGACTCTTGTACACGAATCCTTCCTCTGAATGTATGAAATTGACCGGTGCTCGATAATTTCGAAATTAACGAAGTATGGTACAAACAACTTTCGTGCAATAGAGATATACATCGCAAGCTAACACACTATAATACATGAAAGCATAAAGAATTGTTCTCTGTAGGGTTTGTAGCTTGTAATGTATAAACTCGTAACAGTAGCATTTATGTTTCAATAAAATAAAGGAAAATTTGGATCCTTACTAGAATAAATCTTCCTTGAATTTCTTGTGTATCCAATTACAAAATACAGAAGAGGGTGGGATCTTTGTTCCTAACCCAGCAATTTTGCTACTTCCTATGAAATTCAGCATTAGTTGAATTTCAGTGGAAGTGTACCAAAAGAAACACTCCTGGAGATAGACAGTCCTCCTGTCAATAGAAATATCCTCTCAAAAAAAGAACAATCTAAACTCCTCCATCTACATGCAGTCATGCACCCACTACTATACAGCTTAATTAGGTGACAAAAATGTAAAAATAAAAAGGGATTAAACTAAGCTAACCTAAACATGTGAGCTATAATTATCGTTTTTATTATTATTATTATCGTAATCTAACTCACCTAATAAACATAAACAATCTTCCTTGATTTCAGCTTTGCTTGGCTTGTCCTCCTCAACATCTTCGCTGTCACCAACTGCCGCCTCAGCAGCAGCAGCCCCGGTCAGCTCTCTGGCTTTCCGAGCTTCAAACTCCCAATCTGTACGACCCAAAACCACCAACATGGTCAGAGCGCAGCTGCCCTCCGCCGCCAAGAGGCCGAGCCACAGCCCCTGAAAATCAAACCCCAGAAAGAATCCCAAACCCACGGCCACCGGCATTCCGACAAGATAAAAGCACCCCAAGTTTATGTTTGCTCCGACTTTCGGCCTTGCAGTGCCTCTCAGAACTCCGCACCCCGTCGTCTGAGGGCAGTTTCCGAGCTCGCAGAGCCCGATTATAGGCAACACCATCGATGTTAGCGCTATAATGTCTTTGTCTTGTGTAAACATGCTTGCCCAAATGTTCCTCACCGTTGTTGCAAACACCAAAGCTGAAAGGCCTAGCATAAAGCTGAAGCAGAGCCCTACAATGGCTGCAAGTTTCGCTTTTTTCGGGTTGTTAGCCCCGATTTCATTGCCGACTCTCGTGGACACACTGAAGCTTAAGGAAGAAGGAAATATGTAGATTAAAGCGGTAGTTTGAATTAAAACGCCCATTGAAGCAACGGTGGCTCTCGGATTTATTAACAACCCACAGAGCAAGATCATGATCTCATACCACCACCATTCTAAACACACAGAAATGCAGCTGGGGACCGCTAAATTTAGAAGAGTCCTCCATTCTCCGAAACAATCCATTGAAATCCCTCCCCAGGTTTTCTTGTGAACCCCAGAGACGATGATGTATACGATCACGGAAGCTACGAGGTTGAAGTTAGACCAAACCCCACTAAGAGCAACACCTTTGATTCCCAAATCGAGGTGGGAAACGAGTAAATAGTTGATGGGAATGTGAAGGATGATCGCGAGGGTTGCACACAATGTGAGAGGCAGAGTGATGGATTGACTTCTGAGGTAAATTCTCAGAGGGTGGAGAAAAGATTGAGCGAGAAGATCAGGGAGAGAACAGAGGAGGTACAACTGAGCTTCGGCGGCGATGGCTTCGTCCTGGCCGCAGATGAGGAGGATTTTCTTCATGTTCAGCCAGAGAAGAGAAATGGGTAAGGATGTAAATAGTAGGAGGAGGACCATCCTCTGCAAAGAGAGGCCTAGTAGAGTGTGTTTTTTGGCGCCAAAAGCTTGGCCGCAGATAGGTTCCATTCCCATGGCGAGGCCGGAGAGGATGGAGTAACCGGTGATGTTGGCGAAGCCCACGGCGAGGGAACCGCCCGCTAAGGCGAGCTCGCCAAGGCGGCCGAGGAAGAGCATGGAGATCATTGACCTTAAATAAAGCAATAAGCCGGTGAGTATCATTGGGAAAGCTATGGCAGCTATGGAATTCGCTTCTTTTAAAGCCAAAGAAAAATGGGATTTATTGTGGGGTTTGAACTGTGATTTATGTACTTGTTCTGGTTGCGGTGTTATGGTTTTGGATATCAATGGAGACGTTAGGGTTTTGGGTTCCTTTGAGTCGTTGATGGAGACAAGGTAATGGTGGTCTGAATTGCCATTGCAGCAGAGAGGAGATGTCACTTTGCACATTGTAAGTTACTTTCTAGAGAGAGAGAGTTGAGAGAGATTGTAGGTGTGGATTCTGAGAGGGGGGTGATTGTGGCGGTTTTATAGGGGTTAAGGAGCTTAGAATTTAGTGGGGCACTTTTTTTCTTTGGAAGGACTAGAGTTGTGTCTTTGTGATGACCGGCCAGAAAATAACAGTGAGAGATGGGTGTAAAATCCACTTTCAAATTCTCCAGTACTAAGATATATATATATATCTTAGTATTTGAGAGGTGGCAAATCACTCATTCAAATCATAATGGATACTCGTCGTAAAATTAAACTAAATGAGTCTTAACAAGTACCCATTAACAGCCCAATTAATTAATTAGTCACCTCTAATTATAAGGGGCTAAAAGCCGGAGCAAAACGCTAAACCAAGTTGTTGATAAATATACTGTCGGTTTGTTTCATCTTCTACATTTCATTTTCAAACCTTAAATTAAAACTTTTTTGAATCTTACGAAAGGGATCAAAAACCAGAGACGGAGTTTTGCATATATATATATATATATAATTAAGATTAGTCATTCAGATAAAGATTAACAACCGGATTAATTTAATATAATTAGAAGTCAAAGTTCTAAACCGGATTAATTTCCAGGGTGGGAGGCCATTGGAGACAGGGAGCTAGGACATGACTCGTTGGATAGTACTCTTGGCCAGTTATACAATGGATTCAATTTATACAATGAATCCAAAAAGCCCATCAGTCTGGGCCCACCATTCCTATGCTGTCTTTTTTGACACAAAGAAATTGCAGAAAACATTTTAAGTACAAGCTAGAGAAGATTAATGGGATTAATCTAACTAATACCCTTTGCCAGCCTAAAAAATGGTTTGCGTCATGGATATTACATAAACGGCTCAAACCATGCCCTTCTGGGGTTTTAACTCTTTTGTTGGTCTTACGGATATGTCCAAAGAAGCCGTCATTGTTCATCCGAATTTGCAATATGCAATGGAGATACTTACTTACCTATGCTTGGAATGCTTTATAGAAACTCTTTAAGTTAATCACGGACTATCATATACTCTATCGTTTTTATATGACAATGCATTAATTGATGTGGAATGCCATCCATGGCATTGAGGTTGCATGGAAATCATTCCGATCCGGAACATGAATTGTGAGCAACGAGCATGCATTAGTCAAATCAAGGATGTTTCAACTGCGGCCATTTCTGTGAGAAATTTTTAGTTGTGACGGGAACACAGATGATACACTACGTGTTTTTATGTAAGTGGTGGAAAATTTTAATTTTTAAGTTATTAACTTTTTAACACACATAACCCACAATTTATATAGGGACATTGGGTGTACCATTTTGTGTGACGGTCACACGGAAAAATCTCTCTATGTCTGCAGCCATGCACATTAGAAGACCAGAGTGGTCTCCATACGGAACCTTTTGATTCACCAGTTCCATATCCAGGGCATCTTTTGTTGAAGGTACGAGCCAATTGTATTTTCAACTTTATGCATGCACTGAACCCCATTTGGTTCAACTCCATCATAGCTCATAGGTCACGACTCACAAGTCACAACCCAGTGGGAAAAGTCAGCTTGTGTTGAGATTTTTTTCTTTGAATGTCGTTTTTTAATTGTGCTTCTCTTCTGGTAAGCCGTTCAAAGTCCTTTTGCTAGACGTCACACCATCAGAATGAAGCATTGCCAAATGGATGGCACTCATGGTTCCACACGCATGTCTTTGTGGGTTGGTCCGTCCTCTCTCTCTCTTACTGTTTTTAGAAAAGGATAATATAATAAAGATAAAAATTGTATTTTAAAAATATGTTAATAAATGAAAGATCAAATTCACAAATCATAATTTGGATAAAATAGTAACACATACTATATTATTTTGGATAATGCTAGAGAGACTAAATTTATAGACAAAATTTGTAAACTAAATGATGTGTCATCAATAAAAATAAGCAGTTTATCAACAGTTAAGTAATAAACCAATCATCGATTTTTATGTTATTTAATTTTCAAAATTTTATCTGTAAATTTACCCTTTCTATCATTATCCTATTATTTTACATATTATAAGAATTACGCGCAAGGCCTAAAGATCTTTTTGTTTAATGGGTCAAATTATATAGAAAAAGACAGTAGATGATTTTTGTCATAAAAACGTGTAGAACATTCAACACACAAATAAAAAGAAGACTGCATGCTTTGTTATTTGTTCCGTTCACAAATATGTACTTTGACTAAAAGAAAACCGAGTTCTTCTTCGTCTTTTGGACTAATCATCTTTTAACTTAACCAAATTGCTCATGTCGACCTTGTTTGTAGTCATTAGGATTTAGAATGTCCATTTTTTGTTGTCATTTTAATAGGAGACCACCACTTTCGGTGGACCCTTCGACGTTAGGGTTTAGGGACAATACTTGGGTCCTCACCAATCAGGAGCCTTTACACTGACCATCCTATGTGGAACAATCAAATAAAGACACGTGTTCCACTTAAACTTAACTAAAACTGGTTCCAAACAATCAATATTCTAGTATCCAAACATGTTCTTTCTCCCTCACCAGCCTTTGCCTACCTTTCCTCTCCTTCGCTGTCGTCGGCGGCCGATATCTCACCCCCACCTACTTCTCTCCTCCGGCTACCACATCCACATCTCCTCCTCCGACCTCCCTTCTCTATCCACCCCACTCACCACTCCTCTTCTAACCAACCTCGTGGACCCCGCCTTCAATCCCTCCTCTTCTTTCCAGATGCGACCATGGCAGCAAGAAGAGGAAGATGGTGGCGAGTCGCGACCAGTAATTGGGCAGGTCCAGAGGTGCTCCCATGGCTTCCACAGAAAATAACATGAGGGATTTGGGGTGGGGCCGACCGACAGGTTGAAGGCGGATGTGGGCAGGTTCCACATAAAAGAATATTAGGGATTTGGGGTTGGGCCGACCAAGAGGTTGGAAGGGAGATGTGGGTGGGTAGGGTCGACGTAGGAGAGGTTGGAGAAGCGGATGTGGTGGCCAGCTTTGCCATGACATAGGAAAGGGGAAGTTAAATATCAGAGTCCAGAGATTTACAAAATAATAAAAATATTATTAAATAAATAAAAATGTCGAAACGGTTACAAAATTTCAAGAAGCTACATTATAAATGATTGATTTCTCAAACTAAATTACAAGTAATATTTATAAAGAACTAAACCCAAAAAACATAACTCAAATGACTTAGGCCGAAATCATAAACTAACAAGCATAACCTAAATACTAAAATAAACTTTTTGACAAAAAAAAAATACTAAAATAAATCTCAGTACTAATATTTTCCAACAAGAAGAAGATGGGTGCTTGGTTACAGGTTCAAAAGTGAGAGTTTGTGTTTGGTTATGAGGATTGCAATAGTCTGGAGGAGTATAAAATGACCAGGTGGTATAATTCTTTTGGGTCACATAATATGGTCAGCAAGTTGGGTTCTCCCCGGGGAGTACCCAAGTATTATCCATCGTGTGGACGCATACATTGCCCAAAGAAGGAAGATACCATGTTCCCCTTGTGCTCTTAACATTTGTAAGAAAAGCAATACTTTGAATAATGGGTTTTTTAAGGGGTAAATATAAAAAAGAAAAGAGTTTGAAAACTTTGAATAAGGAAAAAATAAAGGGTAAAGTGAATAGTACCATAATTGACCTTTTAGTGTAAAAATATGGTTTTTCATTAAAGTGAACAGTACTAGAAGTTTTTCGTTAAAATTCCCAATATAAAAAATATTGGTATTCTTTGTTGTAATAAAATTGTAATGTTATGAAATTATCAACATCGTAATTTATTTTTGAACTTCTTGCATTATGTTTTACAGTTTTACAATAATGACATTAACATTTAACGTCTAAATTATCAGATGTAAGGTTACACTATAATCGTCAAGTTTACAATTCATGACTTCATAATATGTTAGGTTTATAGTTGATAACACACAGTGACGTTATTATTCTAACAAGGTTGGTGTTTACATGGTAAATGACCTATTACACTGTCAAGGTAGGTTGTTATGAGTGAACATGATCACATCACAAAATCATCGTTTGAACCTACAAACAAATTCACATATTGTTGACATACCCTCTAATAAATATCATTACCTTCAGTCCAATTAGAATTATTGAAAGTGTTTTTCTACTTTTTTTTACTTTTAGTTTTGTTGTCATATCATTCAGAAAAACTTTAAAAACTGCTTTTGTTATTGACTGCAAATTAAGGACAGATTCAACAAGCAGAAACTTGTACGTGTTTTCCGATCGAGCTTACTCACGACAGAGCTCATTGAATCCAATTCAGAAGGCAAATTGTATGCCGTAATGATGACAGTGTAGCTCTAGCTAGATCCTGCACCGACTAAATATCTTTGTGCTGAAAAATTGGATGCAAAGTTTTGAGAACACAATGAATCTTTGCCGACAAAAGACATGGATGCCCCCAAAATTCTTCGGCATGTGCAAAAAGAACTTGGACTATTGGTTAACACCAACATTTCTCATCAATAACAACAGAAAAATGCACAGTTCAAACAATTGTCGCATAATTTCTAATTAACTCCTTTATAATTATGTGAGCTACGAGTGACGGTTTTTCAATTGAGTCGTATTTCTTTTACTTTTTGACCATTAATTGTACTTTCAAAGCTTAAACTAAAGTATCAATCAGAATCAAAAAATTCGAAGACAACAACACAGTGGCAGCAACCTAAAAAACCACCAAGTTACAGAAAGCTATCGCTCAGACCTTGATACTAATGAGTAATGACCAAGTTTCAACTTGATTCTTTTGAGCTGATCTCTCGACAAGACTAAAGAAAGCTGTAACAGTGAACTCATTACCATGCAATCTGCCGTCAATCTTCTTGAGGAATGATAAGCAAGATCTTATCTAGACTTTCTTATTTTACTGTCTCAACTCTTCTTCTTATCTTGCAATGTTGCAGAATTAAACTGTTTATTTTCTAGGTCAATCTTTAATGATCATTACTTCATCTAAAATTGTTTCATCATCTAACAATTATCCAATAAATAAACGAATCATGTT